GTGTACGACAGTAACACTGTGTATTACAGTAACACTGTGTACGATAGTAACTCTGTGTACGACAGTAACACTGTGTACGACAGTAACACTGTGTAACAGTAACTCTGTACAAGAACCAGTGCAACTCTTGCCCAGTTCTGTGACAGCCTCATCACTGGTGCTGTGCTTAAGCCCATTGTTCAGTCACGTGTCGCATTGAAGTCTTCCTCATCTTCTCTGAGCCTCCGCTTTTTTAAGCCTGATGACTTTTTCCAGGGACTTCTTCCGAACAACATACTAAAAGTGTGTGAGATAAACTCTCACCATTTGCCTCCAAAGAAGGCCCTGGTTGCACGTCCTCCAGGACAGATTGGTTTGTTCTTTTGTCCGTGCATAAGGGGTTCAGTGCTCCCCACTATGACCCCACCACACAGTTCAGAGGATCCGTTCTCTGGTCTCCTTCGTCATCGGGGTCTCACATCATCGGGGTCAGGCTTGAGTCAGGTATTTGACCGCCACTTCCGTGGATGCTGACTGAAATCCTTCACTTCAGTCTTCTCCATTCATCATGATCTTACCTGTTGGTCCAGCTGTGAGGATTTTCGTTTTCTTTAGGTTAAGGTACGACCCATCCTGAAGGCTGTATTGTTGTTGATCTTTAGTTAGTACTTCAGGTTTACGTTCTGCAGGCAGAGTTATGTCGTCAGCAGCACACAGGTTGTTAAGGAGCCTTCCCCCAACCCCAAGTCCACATTTCTCCTCACATGCCTTGGAAGAGGAAGTGGGTGTGCAGGGACTGCTGCCCCAGGGTGTGACTGCAGCACCCAGCTGGCTGGTGGTGGGCTTGGGAGACAGCCCCCAGGTGTGCGCTGAGCCACTCAGAACCTGCCTTGTCCACTTCCTAAGTTTGTATGTGAAACTCAGAGCACATGTATGGACACTTATGAAACCACCCAGAGTGAGAGTGAGGTCAGGGGCCTTGGGGGTGCAGTGACGCGGCCCTGGGCTGCAGACCTGCCAGCATCAGCCCCTGCCATGGGCTGGCCCTGAGCTGGGCTCGACCCCGCAGTGTCCGCCGCGGCAACCCGAGGTGAGTTTACGGTGGGAACATGGTCCTGATGAAAGGCTCCTCCCGGTCCCAGGCGCAGGACGACGACTATGGTGAGGGGGAGGATGATGCTGAGGTCCAGCAGGAATGTCTACACAAGTTCTCCACCCGGGATTACATCATGGAGCCCTCCATCTTCAACACCCTGAAGAGGTATGTGTGGAGGAAGGGGCTGCTTTGGGAGCTCTTTATGATGTTGCAGGTGTTGAGTGTCAGTAGGGTAGAAAGTGTCCGGGATCCGCCCTTCAAAGCTCAGTGCCGATCTTAATATAAACACTGGTAAACTTGAAAAGAAAATAAAGCTCAGTGCCAGGCTCAGTGCCCTCTTATCCTCATGCCAGCCGCCTCTGGCCTGCATCCACTGCTGGGCAGTAGCTGTCCTGTCCTCTCTGTAGGTATTTCCAGGCGGGAGGGTCTCCAGAGAACGTGATCCAGCTGCTGTCTGAGAACTACACCGCCGTGGCCCAGACGGTGAACCTGCTGGCAGAGTGGCTCATCCAGACAGGTGAGCGGCCAAGGGCCGTCCTCACGCCCGCTCTCTAGTGGCCTTGGGCCATTGTGGTGTGGCGGCATTGGGAAGACACGCTTTGCTTCCTGGCTTGTGTGCTAGTGCAGGGACGCCAGCCTCTGGCCTCTGCTCCTGGGCTGCTGCTCTGTCTGGATCGGGTAGCCAGCCCGACAGCGCACCTTCCGGTCTGTCTCACCGAGGTGGCTTCCTGCCGTGCTGGAGAATGACAGGATCAGACAGTATGTGTTCAGCATGTCATTGTCGAGAGGTCTGTTGTAGCGTGCAATAATGATGGGTAATTTAGGACTGGCTGTGATTACGGCTCTGCGCTAAACTGATCACAGTAGAGTCTTCCTGGGAACGCTGTGCGTGAGTGGGCTCAATGACATCACCCCCCAGGGCAGCTGCTTCATGGAGCTGTCACATCAGTGGGCTGACCCTAGTCACGCCCACCCTGCCACCAGCCTGGCCGACTGTCCCTAGCAGGGTGCAGTCAGAGAGGTCTTTCTGTGTAGACAAGTAGACCATCCTGGACCTTATCATCAAGTAATAAATAGACCTTTTTATAAATACTCCAAAATCCTAAACAAAAGAGTTTTCCGGTACCTAAAGAGCCCTGCTACTGCCATGTTTAATATGCTGGGCTGCCACATGAAAAGTCAGCAGTTCAAATCCACCAGCCCCTCGAGTGGAGAAAGACGGGCAGTCTCCTTACGTGGGTTTCCCGCCCTGTGGTGCCCTGTGGGTCGAAGGACTCGTGGCAGCAGGGGGACCAGCACGGGAGTGCAGCCCATCTCTGGAGAGCTGAGGGAGCAGAGGGAGGGAGGCGGGCAGGTGGATGGACAGACGGACGGTTTCCCATCACATCGCTTGTGATTTCCTGCAGGTGTCGAGCCAGTGCAGGTCCAGGAGACGGTGGAAAACCACCTCAAGAGTTTACTCATCAAGCATTTCGATCCCCGAAAAGCAGATTCTATTTTCACTGAAGAAGGCGAGGTGAGCTCCATCTTTTCTTTCCTGTGATGTGTTGCTGGGGGTAGTGGGCCGGGTCGGGAATGGACCAGCTGGGAAGACCGTGGGGTGGGAGACTGAGGCTGCACAGATTGGCCCTTCGTACATAACGGGCGGGGGGGTGGGGGCAGTGCAGTCTGTGGAACCCTGGCCTCAGCAGAGGGGAGTTGGTGGAGTTGGAGTATAGCCTTGGGCAGTCACATGCTGGAAGAGATAATCTTCATCCCCAGCACGTGACGCCATAAGCATGATCTTCTCATGGAATGCGTGTCCAGTCAAGTCCATGAACAGTGACCTCTTTGCCATGAAGCCAGAGAACTACATACTGCCCAGCTGCTGTTACTGAATGTTGTGATCAAAGACTGTGTCAAACAACCCTGATCAAAAGGGGGAATTGCAGAAAAGAGTCCAAAATGTTCATGTACTTCAAACTTTCTGAAGCCCTAGAAGATGGATGAGCTCCCAAAACTCTTGTCTAAGATAATCTTTAAGTCTTAAGCCAGAATTATCCCTGACGTCTTCTTAAAACCAGGTAGTAATTTAACTTAAATAAAGAATGCTTGCGTTGAGCACTGTGCTCTTTAAAGAGCTAATCAGAACTGAAAGAAGCACTGTTTTGGGTACTGCTCAGTTGACTGTTAGTCCTTGCAACCCCGTGAACAGATGAAAACCTCGGCCTGCCGCAGCACCAGCCGCACAGTCCCGTTGTGTTTAAGCCCATTGTTTCAGTCACTGTCCCGTCATCTCATTGACAGCCTTCCTCTCCACTGACCCTCCGCCTCTCCTAGCATGATGTCCTTCTCCAAGGACTTGCCCTCCTGAGACAGTTTCACCATCTTTGTCTCTCAGGAGCACTGCCTCTAAAGTAGATTGCTGATTCTCTTGGCAGTACATGCGATTCTTTTTTTTTTTTTAGTACATGGGATTTTTTTTTTTAGTACGTGAGATTCTTTTTTTTTTTTTAGTATGTGGGATTCTTAATGCTCTTCTCCACCACCACGGCGCAAAGGCATCAGTTCTTCACTGGCCTGCACTTTCATTGTCCACCTTGGACAAGCATATGAGGCATTGCAAAGACTGTGGCTTTAATTAGGTGCAGCACATTCTCGAAGGTGACACCCTTGCTCCTTAGCACCTTGGAGTGGTCCGTGCAGCCGATTTCCCCAGCGCCGCCCGTCTTTGGAGTCGACTGCTGCCGCCACACGTGTTGGTTGTGAAAACAAGTCAGGTGAAACCTCTGACAGCTTCGGTCTCCTCTCCATCGGTCTTGATATCTTTTAGTCCAGTTGTGAGGAATTTTGTCTTCTTGATGTTGAGGTGAAATTTATGTTGAAGATTAGTCTTTGATTTGCAGTAAGTCCTTCAAATTCTTTACTTGCTGCAACCTAGGTTGTGTCCGCTGCATCAGGCTTGTTATTGATGAGTCTTCTTCCAATCCTGCAGCCACCGTTGTCTTTGAATGGCCCAGCTTCTTGAGTTATTTTCTCAACCAATAGATTGACTAAGTATAGGAAAAAAATAGCATCTTAATGCACACCTTTTCTGATTCTAAATCATGCCATACCTGCTTGTTCTGTTCGAACCACTGCTTCTTGGTCTGTATTCAGGTTCTGCGTGAATTCAGTTAAGTGTTCTGGATTTCCCGTTTTTCTTTTCTGTAATTGATACTGATCCTCTGTTGAGTGCCTTTGCATAGTCAATAAAACGGCCCTGTCCACGTAGGTGATGCTGGTATTGAGATACTGGGGGCATAGCTTCCGGCCTCCCGGCGGCATGCAGGCCCCCACAGTTCACCACACTGCCAGAGGACTGGTGGAAGAACTGTCTTCATGGGATCAAGTTGACAGCAGCAGCTTGGAAGACTAGACCCAAAACTCAGTAGGCAGTGGGCGTACGTTAATAGGAGAGGAATAATTTGGAAAAAGGAGGGTGAGAATGGTGGTGACCACTTGAAGAATGTAAATAGTGTCATTGAATTGTACATGGAGAAATTGTCAAATTAGTATATATTCTCAATAGCAACAACGACTAAAAGACAGGGTCCTTTTCGGTCTTGGTTTTGTGGGTGGTTTTGTCTTTGATGCGGTGTGGGTGAGCGTTCCCCCAGCTGATCACTTGCACACGTGCTGGATGCCCTGTAATGGTGCCGCAGTCCCCTGGCCACACGGCCAGCCTTGTGTGAGCTGCTGTGTGTGGGAGTGGACTGCGCTCCGCTCCCGGAAGCACCTTCTTGTCCCCTTGTCTGTTGGGTCAGGGCACTCAGGGTCACAGTGGAGTGGGCTGCTGGCCAGAAGATGGGCGGTTCAGACCCCCCAGCTGCTCCTCGGAAGAAGGAGGGGCGCGCAGTGTGCCTCCATGCAGAGGATGGCCTTGGAAGCCTCTGTCCTAGAGGGTCCTGAGTCCAGAGCAGCACGGTGGGCGCAATCCAGCCACGTTGAGTCACCTCTGTTGAGGGCTGTGTTGACACTGTAAAGAGTATGATGCTGGTACTCCAGCCCCTCTGCCCACCTCGTGGGGACCCCATAGTTATAGAGGCCTCTCCCCTGTGTGTCTGTCGCAGACCCCCGCCTGGCTTGAGCAGATGATTGCACACACCACATGGAGAGACCTCTTCTACAAGCTGGCGGAGGCCCACCCAGACTGCCTGATGCTCAACTTCACGGTGAAGGTAGGACCTGCGGATGTGGGCGACTGTCGTGTGTGGGCGGCTCAGAATCCCACCCGTGTGTCACTAACGGAGTTCGTACCTGTGCTTCTGGCTCAGGAATGTTGTGACAGGGATGTGTCCTGGCAGGACTGTCCCCTCCGTCTCACAGAGGAGGAGCCCGGGACAGCCAGCCTGGGCCACATGCCCTCTCAGTAGGGTCCAGGCTTAGCATGGACATGGCGGGACCAGACCAATGTGTCAGGACACTTTTCTATCCCAACCCTCCTGCCAGGTTCTCATTTTGAGCCAGCGGCACAGGTAAAAACTCCTGGCTCTGAGTCACCACAGACCTTACGATGAGCCAGCTGTCTGTGAGCTGGTGGTCCCAGCGTGCTGCCGCCTGACTGATGTCCTCCCTTCGTGTCACAGCTTATTTCAGATGCCGGATACCAGGGCGAGATCACCAGCGTCTCCACGGCCTGCCAGCAGCTGGAGGTGTTTTCCCGAGTGCTGCGCACGTCCCTGGCCACCATCCTAGATGGAGGAGAGGAGAACCTGGAGAAGAACCTGCCTGAGTTTGCTGTGAGCCCCTCACCTCCTCCTGTGTCAGGCCTGGTTGGGTGAGAATGGGGCTGGTTGGGTGTGAGCTTGGGTGAGAACGGGGCTGGTTGGGTATGAGCTCTGGGTAGAGCAGGGCTGGTTGGGACTCCCCAGCCCAGAAGGAGCCTCCCATGAGGTGCCGGGCAGGCTGGTTGGTGGTCTTCCCTCTGGATAGTCTCTTAGCACCCCCCCCCCAGTGCAGTGTCTCAGGCAGGACTGCTCACAGAGCCTCTCTGCCTGTGTCTCTCAGAAGATGGTGTGTCATGGAGAGCACACCTACCTGTTCGCGCAGGCCATGATGTCAGTGCTGGCCCAGGAGGAGCAGGGCGGCTCCGCCGTGCGCAGGATCGCCCAGGAAGTCCAGCGCTTTGCTCAGGAGAAGTGAGTTGTGCTTCAGTGGCCGTCGTGCCCCCGCCCCAGGGTCACCCACTACACTGTCCCTGCCCTAGCTCCCCGGGCCTTCCGAGGTGACAGGTGACCTCCCTGTGAGCCCTGAGGCCTGGGCAGTGAGGCTGAGGGTGGAACTTGGGGAGTTTGTGTGCCTTAAGCACTTCCTCATTCTTCAGTTCACTGGACTCCGGAATCTGCTTTTCTTACTGGAATTCATAAATAGAGAGTAACAGTCCTAAAATAATGGTGCAGTCATTTGATTGCTGGTCTTTGTTAAGTTGTAGAGCAGTGGTTGTGAGGGGGTGGGGCTTCACGGGGTCCCTGTGTCGGAAACGGCAGTTAGGACGCACGCCTTACATCAGAGGAGCCGCTCTCCATGTTGGGGTCTGCTGGTGCTGCTGTCTTGGGTGCCAGCCAGTAGATACCACCGTGTGGTGACCCTGCCGGGCAGGTGCTGCCCAGAGAGTCTCCTCAGCCATCATCCTAAGGGCAGCAGATTGCCAGGTCTCCCTCCTGCAGGGAGGCCATCCGCTCAGTTAGCATTGTACCGTCAGGGGCCTGCTGTGCCGATGGAATTTGTTGTTGTTGAGAACCATCCAGTCAGAACTGACCCGTAGCTGACCCTCCAGCGGACCTTCAGAGGCACTTAATCCCACGGGAGGAGATTGCAGCTCACCTTTCTGGCACTAGGCCCCCAGAGTGGGTGGGGCCTTTGATAAAGCCCGGAGCTCTGCGTGGGGACATTCTTCCCCCATTGGCTCTGTGTGGTGTCTTACGGGCCAGCGAGTCTGTAGGCCAGAACTGTGAGAAACAAGGGACCCCACAGTCACAAACCTCAAACGCAGAGAAGGTGCTCCCTCTGACGACAGTGTGTGTACCTCTCACAGGGGCCACGATGCCAGTCAGATCACACTGGCCTTGGGCACAGCGGCATCCTACCCCCGAGCGTGCCAGGCCCTGGGCGCCATGCTGTCCAAGGGCGCCCTGAACCCCGCTGACATCACGGTCCTGTTCAAGATGTTCACCAGCATGGACCCGCCCCCTGTGGAGCTGGTACGCTGCCCCTTTTTCTTTAGTTGAAGTACAGGTGTGGGATATGACCCCACATACCTCCTCCACCGGTTGGATGAGAGGAGGCCTCCCGTCCCTCCTCCAGGACAGCTGGTGGTTTTGAACCACTGACCTTTGGTAAGCAGTGGACACATTAAACACTACACCACCAGCATTCCTTAGGTTTCAGGGACATTAAATCACTAGGAACTGTCCCCGTGGATTTCCTTCACCCCCAGCAGAACCGTGGTGTCCACACAGTCCCCCTCATAGCTTCTCATTTTAATAAGTAATAACAGATCCTGTTGGGAGGGTTGAAGGTCGGTGTTTTTCTCGTGCGCTGAGTCAGCAGGTGCAGGTTCTTGTTGCTGCTGTTTCTTTGGTGCCTCCTGTCACACTGTCGGCCCGCAGGCATGTGTGAGCGCCT